TACCTTACCAGCTTCTATTTGTTCTGAAATTTCTAGACTCTGTGCCAATTTTTTGGTGGAAATCTGGAGCTGAGCAGTCGCAAGGAATTCGTTGGATAAAATGGGGTCTTCTCTCCCTTCCAAAAGAGAATGGCGGGCTGGCTCTCATTTTAATAAGACTCTCATTTGCAAACAACTCTGGAGAATTGTATCCAACCCTGATCTCCTTGTCAGCAGACTCCTTAAGGACATGTACTTTCCCAACTCTTCCCTTGTTCATGCTTCAAAAGTACCTAGTGGATCCTGGATGTGGAATAGTTGGATGGCTGTGGTGCCTTTTTTTTCCCAAGTGGTTGAGGATTGAAATCAGAAATGGAGTAAACACTAGGATTGAAGATTTGAATTGGATTCCAAATCATAGCAAGCCCTCTCCTCCCCTAATTCTTATAGCTAGAGGACACTTGCTCTAGGTTAGAGAGTTAACGCAAGAAGATGGCACACAATGGAATGAATGGCTTGTAAGACAAGTCTTTCAGGAATCTGACAACAAAGCCATTCTGAGCATTTCCACTCTCCACCCTCACAGGGCTGACAGGATTTACTAGGGACTTCACAAGATAGACTGCTTCTCAGTTTCAAGCATATATACTCATCTTAACTCCTATAATAAGCTCTGGTATTCCTGAGTGTAGCACCAATTCAGTGTCCAAGTCTTCAATTACATACAGGAATTAGAAGTTAAAAGTTGCTGGCAAGGTCAAGCATTTCATTTGGAAATGCATCACATGCTCTTTGTCTGTTGCTACTCAACTGAGAAAGAAAGGTATTGGTCTAGAGACTACTTGTTTTCTCTGTGGGGAAGCTGCTGAAACAGTTGAACACCTCTTTTTCACCTGTCATAGAGCATTAAGGTTCTTGAAATTGAGCGCTCTCCACTGGGATGGATTGAATAACTATACTGATTCTTTCAAAGCATGGCGGTACCAAATTTGTTCACTTGATAATTCTGATGTGGTAGAGGCTAGGATTCGACTCACTACTTATATGCTTTGGTGGCTTTGGAAGTCAAGTAACTTGTGTCTCTTCCAACAATCTCTTATTCCAGACCACACTCGGATCAAATTAGCTCAAAATAACTGGTTGAAATTTCTCTCAGCTTCTTCTTGATCCCTTTTTGTTTCTTCTTTGGTTTGCTTTGGTAGAATATTTAGTTCGGGTAGAGTGGTGAGACTCCTTGCTAGGCTGTTGGGTAGTGGCATGAGTTCTCACTACTGATCTTCCTTTGTTTCGTGATGTTTGTTAGTTCCTTTGGCTTTGTAGTCTGGTTGGTTGATGAGGTTCTAGACCGCTTTCAGCGTGTCTCTCAGTTTTAGTTTTTTTCGGATGTATGATGCTTTGTATTCAAACTTTGTTTGCTTTGAGATTTATAATAGTAACCTCTATCACCCACGACCACTGCTCGTGATAAATCCCGATTTGGTCAAGTTTCGTGACATAAGTAGAAGTAACGAGTGAAGACACTAATAGTCATATGCTTTGTTCTAAAACTTGAAAAAGTCTGTTGAAGAAGGATTTTGTTGTACCCAGGAACAAATAACAACATGCCCAAAGTAATGTGCTTGGACAAAACTCAATAACTAAGATATTTAAAGTGAATCTTGTATAGTCAGAGAGTATCGTTATATTAACAAACAAACGGGCATGAATTCAACACAAATGTGGAGTCAGTAGAGTGAACAATATGACTTTATATCCCAAACTGTGTGCATTTGTTCCAACTATAGCAAAACGCAAGCTCCCCCGGATTCTCAATATAGCAAATTTATCTAGTTGATGTTGAAATTTCATCAAGTAGCAAAATCGATTACAAATCTAACAATGGCGTTAATCGACGAATAACCGGAAAATCCCAAGTCCATATACAAAAACCAAGACACATCAAGATAGCAGCACACTTTAGGAAACAGAAAAATTGTAACTGAAAACTGGGCAGCACATCTCAAATCAATCAATTAATCCAAACAATTATCAGAGCTAAACAACTCAATTTAACCAAAACGACAAATTCAGCCCACACATCACAAAACAAGAGAACAAACAGTAAGAACCAAAACATACTTAGCTTATGTTTTAAGTAAGTGTAAGGCCACAACATTCCACCGGACGAAAGAGAGATGGCGCCTAGGAGAAGCAAATTCATAAGCTGCCTCTTTCCCATGTCCGGCACGCGATCATCGGCCGGAACACTCGTAGCCATACATGACACATTCATCGTCTTGACTTTAGACATTTCGAACTTCGGAAGCGCGATTCACTCGAGCTCCGAGCTCAGCTGCAAAAATTAAAATAGAAATAAAATCAGCGGTTCCAGTTGAGAACAAATTGGGGGTTTTAATGATGTTGAAGTACCTGAGAAGGATAATGGTGGGAAACAGTGTAGTTGAAAACGCCATTGGTGGACGAGATTCAACTTTTCTTCGGCTGCGTTTGATAATTGGCTTTTCAGCAACTTTTGGCTGTTTGACCACTTTTTAGCTTATTTGACATGTTGATCAAGTAATAATTGTGTTTGGTAAATTAGCCTTTTCACTTAACTTTTTGTTCAAAATCGCTAATTTTGAAAAAGCTACAACTGGCAGCGTTTACATTTAGCTTTTTGCTTAGCAATGCTAACATGATTGTTTTTATAATTTTAAAATACTAAAAATCAATTACGGACAAAGAAATACTAAAAAAAATGAACTAATTGTAGAAGTTACGAACAAATAAAAGTAAAAAATTAGCACTTAAAAAAATCAAAGCAATAAATAAACATAAAACAGTATTGACAAATTTATTGCTTTCTTATATTTGTTGGAACACTATTAACATATATGGATGATATTATTATTATT